GGGGGGAGGGGAATATTTGAATACAAATTAAATAATTAATTGTACATATGTGTGTGTGTTTTTTTTTTTTCAATAAGTGTAATATCTGTAATGATAATAAAACGTAAAGATAATATATACGTACACATATAATTATATAAATATATATATATATATATAAGTATATATGTACATCAGATATAAAAATCAGTGCTACATAAATGTTGAACACACATATATATATATATATATATATAATATATAATATATAATATGTACACATCAAGTATACCACTTGATATACATAAAGTATATTAAGTATATATACACATATACACATTATATATATGTTATATATATATAGTGTGATAATAAAACATATCTAGCGAAGAAATTCTACTAATCATAACCTGTAATATTTGACTTGATACTAATTAGGCGTAATAGTATCTGTAGGGTAACGCATCACAGCGCGTACGGCGGTCGTTGTGATCTTAGAAATCGGTCCAACCACCGAAAAATCGGCGGCTAATTCATTGTGAAGCTCGAATGCCACGAACTAAAAGGGACACACAAAAGGAAGAAACAAACCAGTTTTGCTTTTTTTTTTTCTTTTATTTTTTTTTTTTTTATTTCTTTTTTTCTATCATCTATTCAGAAAATTATTCATATTATTGTAATGTCGATTATTTTATATTTTGTTGAAATTTAAATAATATATTTAGAGAAATTACACGTGTAATTTTAGCACGTGTAAAATACGAATTATTTAAATTAATTTTAAAATACGAAGAGAGAGAGAGAGAGAGAGAGAGAAATAGAAATAGAAAGAGAGATATGTAATAAAAATTAATGTTAATTGTAATTTATATTATTATTATTATTATTATTATTATTATTATTATTATTATTATTAATATTATTTAAATTAATGTGTTTATTTAATTTTTTTTTATTAATCATAAAAATAAAATATAAATTTAATATTATATTTTATAAATAAATTATATACACAAAAATTAGAATAAATTACGTATTATAAATTACGAATATAATATTTGGATAAAGAATAAAAAAAAAAAAAAAAGTGAAAAAATTATAATTGGTAGATAATATAGAAGAAAATGTTTTTTTAGGGGAAAAAAATTAAAATCAAAATATAATAAAATGAAAAATAAAATAAAAAAATAAAGAAATATAAAATATGAAAAAACTAAACCAAGAAATTGAAAAACCCCATAAAAATTCTCTCCCCTCTTCGATCATAAAAAAAACTCGAACACGATTCATGATCCCAACGAACGCCAATCAACGCCCAACAAGACAAAAAAAATCATATCAATGTTTTTTTTTTTTTTTTTTTTTTTTTTTTTTT